CAAGCTTTACCTGAAATCCAGGAAGGTCTAGAAGATGTTTTCAAGCCTTCAAACCAGAGTATTGGGGTTTTAAATCCTGGTGGACCACCCAAACATACAGATGAAACCGTAGTTGTGGAATCTGGAGATTCTGCCTTAGCTGATCTTAATGGTCAGATTAATGGTCCTGCTGAAGTTAGTCCTGTCTCTGACTGCTCAAATATGAAATCAAAGGTAAAGGATACGTAGCGCTCCTATTATGTGATTTATTGTTTGCTGAAATGGAGGGGGAGGCATTTTGTTCATGACTATTGCTTTTGTTTCTCACCCATTAAGCAGACCACACTGGCTAATGGTGTTGGCGTCAATGCTGGCTTGTCCCCCACCGAGCACTGCAATGCAAACAAAAACCACACCTCCAACAAAGCCGGTACTCGGCTCCTCAGTGCCACGGCTTCTCCACGGCCACGCAAGCATACATTCTACCGACAAGTAAAGCACGTTTTTGAATGTCTTTTATGAAAAATGATGAATACTGTGTTCCCTCGCTACCAAGTGGTTCCCCTTTCGTGGCCTTTCTGTTTTGTGGATTATTTTTGTCAGCATATCAGGCCCGCCCGGCCCCCTCTTTGTAAAATCCACTACTCTAAATGCAAAAAGATACGGTACAATAATGACAAAACATAATAAATGAAAAATCAGTTTTTGATAGACGAAGAAGCATTTAAGCAAAAAAAAAAAAAAAACTCCATACATATCCATCCATCCATCCATTTTATGATCCGCTTATCCTCACAAAGGGCACGGGGGGTGCTGGAGCCTATCCCAGCCGTCTTCGGGCAGTAGGCGGGGGACACCCTGAACCGGTTGCCAGCCAAATCGCAGGGCACACACAGACGAACAACCATCCACACTCACACTCACACCTCGGGCAATTTAGAGTGTTCAATCAGCCTGTCATGCATATTTTTTGTAATGTGGGAGGAAACCGGAGTACCCAGAGAAAACCCAGCAGGCCCGGGGAAAACATGCAAACTCCACCCAGGGAGGCCGGAGCTGGAATTGAACCCGGTACCTGTGCACTGTGAGGTTGACGCAGTAACCACTTGCCTACCTGGCCGCTCTCCATACATAACAAAAAAAACAAAAACATGAAATAACCTCTACTTCACGGATTTCACTTATTGCGGGTATTTTTTTGGAGCATAACCCTTGCAATAAATAAGGGAACACTGCACTTAAAAAAAAAACAAACTGCAGGTTCAAATTAATTTTCTCTTTCTTCAGCCCTCTTTCACATTTTCGTATTATGGACGAGTGGGATCGCAGCGTCACCGACTGCGACGGACAACCACCTCAAGCCCTCCGCCAATCACCACTTCCCGCAGTCTGAATGATCTGAGCGATCTGCAGCTGCATGCAGACAGGAGGGAGTTTCAGTTGTCTGAAAGCAGTCTATCTTCAGAAGGTTCCAGCAGCGATGGCGGGCCCAGCAAGGGCACAACCGTACGATTGCTGTGGTTGTCAATGCTGAAGGTGAAAGATAATTGCAATATTTTTTTGAAGCACAAATCGCAAACACATTCATTTGGAGTGTTTGCGTATGAACGTCCTGTTTTTGCAAAATGACAATACTTCCTGGTCTCTGCACTGCGCAGATGCCAAAGCAGCTATGGAGGCTGTGTGTATGCCACCTGGTCACATGGTTCTCCTACATAGCTCAAGCCGTCTTCTACACAGATTTCATGGGACAAGTCATCTTCCATGGTGACCCCAAGGTACACACACACACACACACACACACACACACACACACACACGGCTTTCACTTTAGGTACATATGCACAATCTAATTAGGTCTGATGCAAGACTCTTGCCTTCATTAAAAAAAAAAAAAAAGAGACATTTCAATTTGGAAAAAAAAAAATTGAAAATCAGGTGCACCCATGTGTCCCTCTGACAAAACACTCATCAGGCACACGATGCAGGTACATTTCAAGTCCCAAAAGCTAAGTAAAAAAAACACCCAAAAAAACTCCTCTACCTAATGTACTGACAGGCTTATAAATGAGAGCAAATAGCTTCAGCCAATGGTGCCCAAGCACCTGGGCTTTGGCGAAAAATGAAAAAATATTACCTTAATATATGACCAGCTTGTTGAATAGAAACAAGCGCAGGCGACCTGTTTATTACATCTGCATTGAGCATCATCGTAAGTTGTGTCTTTAATTATTTTGTTGGTCTCCTTTTTGGTGTGTGCAGAAAAGTTTGTGTGGCCGCTGCTGTAATTGGCAGTAAAAACTACACAGTGTCACACCTGTTTTCACATTCAACGCAGATCACATTGCTCAGCTTTGACTTTCACTTCCAGACAAGTTTTGCGTTATATGTTGCAGTGGTGACCCTACTAAGCGGTGTTTTGAACATTCAGCAATCGCTGTTTTGTATCAGTTTTTTTGGTTTCCCATTAACTTAAGACAATGAGAGCAAATAGAAAATTCTTTTTTTTTCTTGATGGAAATGTGGCACTCAAATAATCAATAGACAGTATTAGAAATACACGCATTTAGGGTTATGCAAAGCTATTGTTCAATGAATATGTACTATTTTTTTCCCCCAGGCACCATCCAATTCCACAGAGTTTCTGAATTATAACAGTGGAGTCCAAATGGGGTGTTGGGGGCTTGTAGTCAATGCGGCAACTGCTGCTGTCTGCTCAGGTATAAATGCACGAGTCCAAATGAGCATTTCAAGACACTTACTGACTCAGTTCTCTCCAAAATGACTGTAGTCAGCGATACAATCACCCTTCTCTTCTTTTTTTTTCTCAAACCAGCCATCCTTCAGAAGTACCTGGATAACTTTGACCTGAGCATCAAGGTCATCTACATTATGGGGACTCTGGGTTTTGCAATAGGTGAGAATACATGCATGACACAATAAACAGCAGCAATACGCTAGAATCACCTACATATTTCATGTATCTGTTCACTATTGTGCCTTTCTAACCTTAGGAACCGCGGTGATGGCTATCTTCCCAAATGTGTACGTTGCCATGGTAATGATCAGCAGCATGGGCATCATCTCTATGAGCATGTCCTACTGTCCTTATGCCTTATTAGGACAGTATCATGAAATTAAAGAGGTACTGATGCAATCCGAGAACAGAGTTATGAACATTGATGTACAAAGGTGCCTTGAGGTATGAGTGACCCAACTTTTTCAAAATACAAGCCAACGATTTTTTTTTTTGCTTTGCAAATTCAACTTTGGTATCTGGCACTGCATGATGGAAGGTGACTCAACTCCCTTCACAACATTTGGCAGATATAATTAGTAAATATTGTTCAAAAGGAGGCTTCAAGCTGTTTATTGAAGTCAAGTGTAGGTGACTGTCAAACTAAACATAATACAAAGAGAATTCCATCTGACAACCACAGCCTCCACAATGTGAATGCTAACATAAAATGGGAAACTCTAGTCACACAGGCCAACAATTACCGTCTATGTGCTGGTGTTGATCTTCTTTCAGTCACTGATATCTCTGTACAATTGTCGCTACAAAACATGTAGGCAAGTTATTATAATGATACACACAGGCTTAATCATTTACAACAAATTTTAGTGCCGTACTGACAGCTGAGAGGAAATGAGAAGTCTCAATGACCAGTCTGTCTGCGCACCAGCATGAGCATCTGAATTGAAAGAGGAAGTTTGACAAAAATCGATTCTTTTAAGTCATTTTAATGGCATAATTACTGTATGTATAAAGTATAATAATTGTTGAGTTTTTTTTTTTTTTTTTTTTTTTTAGGGATGCTAGAACGGATTAATGACATTTCCATTCATTTCAATGGGGAAAGATGATTTAAGATACAGGTATTTCGAGTTACGAGTGTGATCCACAACCGAATAGAACTTGTATCTCGAGGCACCACTGTACTAATGAGCAGAAAAACTGAATTGGTATTGAAGTTGCATTCTCTGCTATCTTTGGTTTCCCCAGTTCGTCCACCACAGTCCAGGCAACACTAGAAGAGGTTTTGGCATTGACTGCGCAATCCTGTCATGCCAAGTGAGTCAATTTACCCAACCCATCTTTGTTTTTCCCAAAACAAAACAAAAAAACCTTACAGCATGTCAAAAATCATTTGAAATATCAATTAGCTCTACATGCTCTAACGGTTTACTAGTGGTAGCTAGCTCTGCTGCAGTTCACCCACGACCCCAACGAGGACAAATGCTAGAAAATGGATGGATGCTCAAATTCATATCATCTTTGTATATTTCCAGGTCTATATAAGCCAGATTCTGGTCGCATCAGCGCTGGGAGCGGTCATCAAGGCCGTCGGCAGCGTGCGAGTCATTCCGATGGTGGCCTCTGGCAGCTCCTTCCTCGGCTTCCTTGCCGCCTGTTTCCTCGTTATTTATCCTGACGAGGATTCGGACAAGGATTCCAGCGATCAGGAGTTGCCCTGTTTGTCAGTTGAGCTGGGCCACCATGGAGAAGATGGTGGCGAGACATTGGCTTTGCAGAAGCTGGCCAACAGAGAAGGCCTTAAGAATACTGAGAAGCTCCCAGTCGCATGAGCACAAACGATTCTTAAGTGTTGAAGGAGGAATGAGATGAGACGAGGCAGAGATGGAAATGTGTGGCAAAAAAAACCAAATAATAAGAATAATAACCACAGGAATACAGTGGGGTTGGATTTGCACAGATATGTCTCCTTTGTGTGAGGAGTTTTCTGCACGTCCCTTTACTACCTCAGCCCAAACAGGCTAAAGTGAACGAGATGGACCGAACGAGGTTGGAAGAAAGTTTTCCGAGATGTTTTTCGGAAACCTCAAAATGAGAAGGCACACACAGCACTTTGTGTCTCATTCCTGAGCTGGTGATCCTGCAGAATTACGTAATGCCTTCCAGCTGTTTCACAGATGATCACGATGCTGTCGGCTAAGGAGAGATGTAAATTTGTGTTCAGTCAGGTTAATGAAAATGGCAAACCTCTCGATTTCAATTATCAGCAGGTTTGTCTGGTGTGCTTTACACACGCGCAGACTGATATGCTTTATTCACTGTGATCACAAGGTAAACATTCACATAAGTGGCTTCGGCGCCATTAGTTAGAGCCTGTATTTTTGTTTGGTGATGAGAGCACTGTGCTCTCTTATGCTGTGACCACATTGGCATTGAATTGCATTGTGAAATGATACATTATGCCAGTTGCGCTACGTTTTCAACCACAGGTACATTTCAATTTCCTCGTTCACATCCTCGAGAGCCCCCTTGTTTCTTTTTTTTTTATGGGCTAGGGTTATAAACGGCCTTTTTTTTTTACCTACCATTCACACCACGAAATCTGCAATGCTATTCAGGAGTTGTAATTCTACTATGCAGTCCGATAAGTTACTGTTAAGTGCCTTTAAGTGCAGGAGAGTGAAAGTGGTTAGTCATAATTTGGGTTGTGCAACAATTTACTCGGCAAGCCTCAGGACATGATGCAGATTAATATTTACAAAGGCTCTTTGCTCTGAGCAACCAAAGGACTTTGGTTTGTTATCCTACTGGTGTCATATCGAAGCCTGAAACAGGGTGTGTTTGTGTAGTTCTGTGTGTCAAAAAGTTTGCATTTTATGTATATGTCAAGACCTTTTAAGAGTTGAACCCGTATTTTGTTCCGTTCTGGGTTGAAAGTTAATCACCAATGTTTGGGGTGTTTTGTTTTATTTTGCTGCTGTACAGATTATTTTTAATTTAATTTTTTTTTATAAAAGCTTCTAAGTGTTTCCAAAGCAAATACTTTGAAGAGAAGGCTAAATCCACCTACAATTGCCTGTCATTCATTGACAACACCTTCCATCTGCACACATATTGAGCCCTTTGTTGGTTTGACTTTTTGGAATGATATAATGTATAAGGGGTTTTAGCTCAGGATGTCAATTACTTTTTCTTTGTGAAGCTCATTTCACATGCAAGGCAAACTCCGTGTGTTTTACAATGTTTAAAAACGGATAATACAATAAAACAAAATACAACACATGCATAACCAAATTATGTATTTAGGTACAAGGTCATGTACCAGTCATAGGATGTGAAAATCAATTATAGTTCTTACGGGTAACAAGTGAAATAATGAGAACATTTGTGAAATGGTGCAAGTTCTTCACGCCAGTAATAATACAGACGGCTGCGTATTTAATTCCAACAACTAGTAGCTGAATGCTTGATTCGGGAAACCCGAGCACCCGGAGAAAACCCACACCAGCACGGATCAAACCCACACCAGCACGGATCAAACATACAAACTCCACCAGACCGCCTATAAAAATTAATGTATTGTTTTTACACCTACACTTACATGCACATGCATGTAAGTAGATGCATGTAAGTGTAGGTGCTTAATCTGTTTATGTATGTAAATGCGGGACTTTTTTTTAAGACTAAACCTGCCAACCCTGTATTTCAAATATTTTGTTTTAACAAACAATTTCACCTATGTCAATACATGACTGTTAACAATGTTTAAATTAAACTAATACAATACAGTAAATAAAAAATTATAATGAAAAAAAAAACGACTTCTAAGACGTTCCCGAGACCCGGCAAATTTTTGCTCTTTTAGTAATGCCCGCCCTCTGCTGCAGAATTAGGGAACAGCGTCAAAATTGTCGCATGGTTTCATCCGCTTGAGTTGTGTTCACTTGTGTCATGGATGTTCCCCCAAACAACTTTTCATTTCTCTTCAAAAGCATTTTAGCTTAAAATGAAGTTTAAATGCCATCATAAGGCGCGTTATGTGAAACCGTAGTAGAGCAACTGCTCCTGTCAGTGCGCATGATTGCCCAGAACAGGAGGAGGCTTCTTTTTCTTTTTTAGTGTATGTCAGCCTCTTTGCCAGTTTGATGAAGGGCTGCATTGGTCTTGATGTTTGATGAAGAGGAAACGGTGAGTGATGCACGCGCACACGCAAAAACGCACAGTTTCAATCAAGAATATCAATTAGATTTTTTTTTCTGACGTCATCTTATTGACGTCGATTCTTGGCACCTAAACATTGTATAAATATGCATCAATAGCTTATCGGTTTTTATTGTCATGTATTTAAATAATGCATACACTGTATGCAATAGTATTGTTAGAGTCCGCTATTCTCATTTAAAAATTTATTATTATTTTTCAATTCATTTTTCATTTTCATGACAAAAAATATTGGTTACTTACTGCAAGTCATGAATAAACATCTATCTAGGCCACTGACATATCGTAATAAATTCTGTTCACCTGATACCAGAAGGTACGTTGAACCTGTGTGTGCACCTGTTGCCATTCATACAACAAAGCAGTAGCTTTCCGGTCGCTGATGGTATGGTGATTCCCTTTGCTTCACTTGAATGCAAGCAGTTTGGCTTCATTTCCCACTCAGTGAGTGCAAATGTTGATGTGAACGCTCATCTGTCTCTAATAACGCCCTGTGATTGACTTGCGACCAGTCCAGGGTCGAGTTTGTCTTTCTCCTCAAATCAGCTGGGCTCCAGTCCCCCCGTGACCCTGAAGTGACCTAGAAAAGGAATATGCAGAAGCTATATACAGTACATATATACACTATGCCCAGTTCAAAAAAGCATTAGACATCGAAATGTGTTCAACAAAGAGCACATTGCAGCAGTCCAGCTGTGCTGTGCAGTGCAATTAACACAGTCATGCGCTTCTTTTCAGGGACAGTGTTGTATAAGAACAGTTCATGTAGAGATGACGTCTTCCGGATGTCATGGTAAACGAATAATTTGTACATCCTGCATTTTTGGAAAAAGGCGTTGCAAAGACAGGCATTGAAAGTCTCCCACGAAAAGCAACTTGGGACTTTGTGAAGGATTCCACATTTTCAAGACATTGGAGCACGATTATCACATAATGAAGATGGCAAGACCCACACACAAAAAAAGCAACTGAATGTGACTGGATGCAGGAAATGTCTAGCTCAGAATCTGGAGGATTTGTTATCAACGGTTTATACATTCTGGTACATTTTTTCAAATAATTTGGAGCCCCTGTAAATCTGCAAGAATTTAAAATGTGAAAATCTAAAAATATTTCATCCTGATGTGGTAAATGTCGTATTTTGTGAAATGGAGAAAAAAAAGCAAGAAAGTCTTCAGATGTTAATCCCATTCAACTAAAAATAACTACTTTGAATGTTCTTCATCTGGAGTTAACACAATAACTTATTTGTGTCTAATTTGCGTGTCATCCCCCTCCTACTTCTTTTTTCCCCCCTCTGTTAGTTCAATGCTTGCATTGTAGCAGATGTGAGGACTTTGTTCAGGATCTGAATCCGTGTCAGCAATGTCGCACCCTCTTCCTTCTCTTCTGGAGGCCTGTGTCGTGGTCGGAGCGTCCAGTGAAAAACTACAGGACTTCTGCCAGGTACTTTCCACATCAAAAACATCAACTAATGATTGGATAAACTGATGAAAGAGCTTATGACAACTTTGCTTGAAGGCTGTGAACTTTCACGGAAGTCTGGAGCACGACGTTTTGGAGCCGGAGGTCCTGCATGTGCTGGCGCCTCCCTTTGTCTGCCGGCCGGAAGCTGAGAGTGAAGCGGTGAGATCACATGCGAGGAAGCATCACTCCTTGCTGAGGAAGAAGAGGAAGCAATCTTCTGCATCCACCACATCTAGCCAAGGTGTGAGATTGTTCATTTTTCATGTCAGATAAAAAAAAAAAATGCATATCAACGGCATCGGGCAGAATCTTCGTACCTCCAAAATGATTTCTATTCTATTCTATTTTTGTTCTCGAACTTTTTGTTCCATGTCGGATGCAGGACTCAAATTTCGAGAGAGAGATTTGTTGTCATTTTTCATACTGGTGTCCTGTTGCTGTAGGCCGTCACAACTGCGCAGGTGAAGCTGCAGCCAGCGGAAGAAAAGGCAGTGATGATATGACTGTTCCCAAAGACATCGACCTCACTGCATTGCCTCAACTGTGCTTTCCCGGTATTGAACATTATTATACACACAACAAAAGATAGAATATACTCAATACAACTTTATTTTAAGAGCCCTTAAAAACACACACGCACACGCACACACACACACACACACACACACACACACACACACACACACACACACACACACACACATCTGTAACAAATGGCTGTACACAATAATCAATGATATTGATTGACAAAGATGAATACACAATATATTTTTTAGTTTGTTTTACAAACGCATGAAATTTCAGTTACACCCCCCCCAAAAAAAAAAATAATTTTTGCGGCAGCCAATGTGATGATATGAATTAATTTCCCTTGTTTCCCCAGGCGGGCTCAGAGTGACCAACGTAAAGTCAGAAGAACAGTTTCACTTCCTGGTTTTCACTGATGTCTTTGGCAACAAGTCCCATGGAGTCGTCATGCAGTGTTCTCGTCCCATTCAGGTTGTCAGCGCGAAACACAACTCGACACACACGTGACCTGAGATGAAGTCAAGTTGCATTGCCGTGTGTTACAGGAGTGGACGTCCCCCTGTCAGAGTGGAGCTGCCTCCAAACTGTTCTGTGACTACAGTTTCTGTGTGATATCCAAACATCCATACTTGACTGCACTAAAAGACTGTCTGTCAATGTAAGTGAGAATGAACGAGGATAAATCTACAGTTGTGTCTGAATGCCAGTAAAAAGAGAGTAAACTTAATAATCCTTCTAATGCTTTATTTCCATTCACCCAAATGCACGACTGTACAGTACAATAATTTATCACATAAAGAAGTATGAGTTGCTTTATTTCTGTGTTCCATGGAATGTGAACTATTCCAGCCCAGAATGATTAGACAACATTCTACAATTTTCCGCTCTCAATCTAATCTTGGCGTTTTGAGACGGGTCATGTGCCAAACGTACAGCCTCTCCTTATGTCATTGTACCAGAACACAGAATAATATTTAATCCTTATATTTGGCTTCAGCCTAAACCAATATATAAGTTGTCAGAGTCCAAAGCACACACAGAGTGCCCTATTTTATTTTTTTTGCACTTGAGTGGATTTTTTTAATATTTTCGTATACATGCCATTTTCGAAATGGGCGTTTGCGCCGTTGTGAGAGTGAACTCAGCCGACTTGCAGCTCCTCTCATTACTTTTAAATTCAGCGCAGGGGTGGAAAGCATCAACTGACTCCATGAAGGTGACCGTCACTTGCAAAGTACGTTTCTAAGGAAATGCAAAAAGATCTCCATTTGTGGATGGTATAAAGTTGGTCGGGGTGTTCACAGATCACTCCTGTGACGTAAGCATTTGGACACTGCAGTCCAGATCCATTTATTAAGTAGACCATATGTATACTGTAATAAAAATTCATCTGTATCTGGATTTTATTTCGATTTTTTTTTTGTACAACCACTTAAATAAAATTGTGTCATTCAACGCAACTTTCAGTGCGCTCTAAAAACAAATCTGAAAAACGAAAGTCAAAACAGAAAATCAAAAGGAACTCCACTGAAAAATCCAAAAAATACTTTCAACTTACCACGAGGTGCCCTTTGAGTTTTATGAAGTCTTCTTCCTGTTTTCCTGTCAGTCTTCTTATAGAGCTCACAGCTTGTCATTTTTCGGACGTTAAGGAGAAGGTGAAGGAGTTTGCAGCCAAATTGGCACTGGTACCCATCCCTCCTCCTGGGCAACTCCATTTGGTACCCGTGACAGTCATAATTTAAAAAGCAAACAAACTCTTATTGCTTAACTTGCCTGTGATGCACCTCATTAAATGCTGCGTTTGCCCCCCTAGATGTTTACCTTGCACTCACTGACCATCGAATTGACATCCAGAGAAGATGAAGATTCCCCAGCTGTAGATTTAGACCTTCATCTGCCTTTTGTCTGCTTCCGTCCACATCGTCTCCTGCAGGTACTGCACACATAAAGACCTCCTCGATGCTGTCGTTTCCGGAAGCATGCTGAGCTGGAAATGTCACCTTCACTCTTCTACGCAGGTGTTATCTTGCCTCCTCCAGGAGCAAAGGGTGGTGCTCTTTTCTGCCAGCTGGGCCCGACTGACACTGGTGGCAGAAAGCTTGCTGATTTTTCTGCACGTACGCTCACCACTGTGCATACAATGGAATCCATTTGATAAATTACTTTTTTTTTGCATGTGGGCATGTTAAAAGAAAGAACTTCACGTACTACCTGTACATATTTTTATCATCCTTTATTTTTGATTTGTTGGTTTTAATTTGATGGTAGCACGGTGGTTGACTGGTTAGCACGTCGACCTCACATTCCAGAGGTGCAGGGTTCGATTCCGGCTCCAGCCTTCCTGTATGGAGTTTGCATGTTCTCCCGGTGTCTGTGTGGGTTTTCTATGGGAATTCCAGTTTCCTCCCACATTCCAAAAACATGTGCCCTGCTTTTGGCTGGCATCCGGTTTAAGGTGTACCCACCTGGATGATTTATTTGGTGCTTACATTACTTAGCTTTCTCTCAGGAGTGGAAGCTAGCTTTTAAGCTAGCTGTTACTGCTGACCAAGAGGACAAACTTACTTTTGTAAATACAGTAACTAAAGAAAAACAGTTTGAGAGTTTACTTGCATTGCCCATTTAAAAAAAAAATGTAAGAACTTGTTGACCGTTGTTATTGTTGAAGGCAGAAATGCTAATGTGGTTTCATGCTGTGGAATAATGTTCTTGGCGTACTGTAAAGTATTTGAATGCATAGTTTGTATTATGTCCCTTTGGACACTTAGACCATTTTAGATCCCAAAAATGCATTATCTCGCACATTATAAACACTCCTGTCATGAATTTGACTGCTGGTGTTTTATCATCATCTTGTTTTTACAGCCTCTCTCATGGCAGCATCCTTACGTCCCCGTCCTGGCCAGAGGCATGCTGGACTTCCTCATGGCACCGACAGCCTTCCTCATGGGCTGCCACCTCTGCCATTTCGAAGAAGTTGCCGCGGTGAGCGCTAAGACAATGTGGTCAATGCAACTGGAAATTGTAATTTGTTCAAATATTAGTTTTGTTTCTGTCCAAGCAGGAAACAGATGATCTGATCCTCATCAACATTGATAATGGAAGCGTGTCGACTTCTTGTTCGGAAACTGTTGACCTACCAGAGATCCCAACGTTTGCAGCAGAATGTTTCACACAGAGGTAAGTCAACAACCTACTGATGAATGCTGCAACCTTGTAATAATGCATTTTTGATTAATGATCGGTGCATTTTATTTAGGTGTCGGTCTCTGCAGATGCATTTTGACTTGGACCAGTGCGAGCGTGCAAACTGCATTGACATCGAGGGTCAGCGCGGCCAGAGACGAGCGTGGCAGCGCAATCTAAACCGTGACATCCAGACCATTACAACTGAACTCATTGTCAACATATTCAGGTTATCACTGAGTTGTATCAAGTGGTGATGATTTCATCAATCACAGCCCAGTACGCTCTTTGAATACATCAGCTTAGCCTTCACAATCTAATGGCAACCGATAGGAGCTTTTTGCTGTTGCTCCAGCCTTTACTTATATTGTCACATGATCATATTTCCATCTCTGTGCAGAAATGTCAGCAGCCACTTGAACTACGAACACCGAGTGTTTAACAGTGAAGAGTTCCTGAGAAGCAGAGAACCAGCAGAACAACTTTTCTACAAGAATGTAATTGCTTTTGGTATTATCTTTTTATGCGTCACGCCATCCTCTCAACATGTACGACATAAACACACTCTCACCGAGCACGACATTAGGAACACCAGCACAATCTAATCAACCTAAGACAGACAGTGTACTTAATATGATAGCTGGTGACTTGTTAGTGATGAGGCTCTAGAACACAGGTGTCAAAGTCGAGGCCCGGGGGCCAGACCCGGCCCGCCGCATCATTTTATGCGGCCCTCGAAAGCAAATCATATGTGTCAGCTTCCATGATACTTGCTTAAATCTGTACCAAAATAATTTTGCTAACCGATTTTCACTCACTTGAACAATAATTGAAGAAACAACAAACAAATAGTTGACTGATATCAAAACTCGTAATCCGTCTTTTTGTGTGTGTGTGGGTGTGTGTGTGTGTGTGTGTGTGTGTTTGTACAAGCAATAATACGATGCGATGATTTTTCTTCGGTCGTAACGGCCCTCCGAAGGAAGACGTAACTCCAAAGTGGCCCGCGACAAAAATGAGTTTGAAACCCCTGCTCTAGAAAGAGTCAGTAAAGTTTTTAAAACTATTATACTAAAAACGTATCAGCCCTTAGACGGACGGCCTGCTTTTATTTTGAAGTCTATTGCAGAGATTCTGTTTTCAGCTTTGAAGAAATTATTCTAGCTTTCCATAGACACTTGTACACTACGACTCTGGAAAAAAAACAAAAACAAAAAAAGCTCAACAACATATATTACAAAGCCAATACCCAGAAAGGTTCATCTTCGGGAGGACAATGATTGCCGGCCAGTGGCCATTTTTAAATCAATGGAGAAGATCAGGATGGGGAAGCTTTGTACCGCTGTTGAATCAGTGCCTGATGAATAGCAGTTTGCCTTTGTTTCATTCGTGTGATGAGGATTTGTTCCTGTCTCTGAGACAAAATTCTCCCCGGTGGAGCTCAGTCGAGTAACCTGAACCTGAGTTTGTTTACCTTTGGGGTAGACAGTATACTGGAACTAAATATCGACATTTATCTGGAATGGTTAATCCTGCTTGGACACACTGTTGTGTTGATATCCGGATCTGGCTTTGTTGCAGGTTTTGCAGACACACATCTTCCATTCTTTCCTCAGGGATCGTCTCAACAGGAAGATGGACAACTTTGCTCGCATGGAACTCAACACTCAATCAGGGATGCAAAAGTATGAGCTTTTGTTAAGTCTTGTGTCTTATCTTAATGCATCATATCATATCGCACTTCATTGGATAGCTGGGGTTTTTTTTTTTTCTCTGTCTGGTCTTATTGATTTTGACTCGCACAAAATTGTGGTTTTTGGTACCGTTAACACAATCCAACCGCGTGACACAATTTGAAAGAAAGTCATCCATCGAGTAGCTGTTGATTTCAGCCAGGTCTCCGTGTTATGTCGAAGCACGCGCTTGCCAGTGAATTGACTACACAGGCTCTAATCGACTAGTTGACTATTCAATTCAAGCCTTGCTGTCTAAACGGTTTCTGGGTTTTTCACACAAATGAATGTCTGTTTTACAATGCTGTTTCGACCAGGATGAAGGCATCAGTGGAAAACCCCCGCAGGCCCACCATGCAGGAGATTCAAGTCCGGAGAAAGAGCTCCCTCGCTGAGAACAAGCTGATTAAGAGACAAACAATGAGCCTTCCCAACCTAGGAGATCAAGACCAATCTATGAGCTTTCAAAGAAATTCACTGCCAACCAAAATCATATTGTGCGAACATGGTGAGACTGGAGAGGAACATTTCAATCAACCCACCTGTTTGGTTGAACTGACAGATCGCTGCCACCAACATTTTTTCTTTTTCCACAATCTGCTTTTATCCTAGCCCGAAGGATGCCTCCGAAGTCTGTGACGATATTCAAGCTTCCAGAATTCCCAGACTGTCTCTCCTTCCATGCTGTCCAAAGTTATTACAGTGAGCTGATCCAGCTTCTTGGCAAGGCGATTGACTCGGTCCAAAATGACAACTCTGCTCTACTAGCCAGGTATTTTTACTGTACAGGAATTATCCACCCATGCCATGTGAAAATGAATCTTTGACGCGGGCACTGGACATTGCAAATATATTTTTGTATCTACCCCTTTATTGGTATTCTTGTTTTAAAAATCAAGCCCTGGAAGCCAGGTTGACATACAGTATAGTCGAAATATGAGATGTGGGAGGCATGTCAAGAATGAGCTGACCCACAGAAAGGTCTGAAGAGACCATGTCCAAAAAAGACAAAGGACATCTGCCATTTTCTTTTGAAGTGTCCCAATGTTCACAAATTGTTTTTTTTTTTTGTTTTTTTTTTGTCAAAATGTGCCCTAATGTGGGCCCCTTTGACTCCAAATTCCTTTAAAAACAAACTTGTCCTAAGATTTTGTGCAATATCAGTTTCAGATCGGTACATTTGCAAAATGTATACTGATACGAATTCCCGAAATCCGTCGGCCGCACGACTGCAAGGGAAGTGGGAATGGTGTGGTGTCCTTTTTGTAGATTAAACTTGGGTTTGAATGAAGGAATCAGTACAGAAATATAATGTGTGTGTGAGTTACGCACCGGCATCACCGAGTGCACTGAGAGAATGAGAACAGTGCGCAATTGTTCACGTGCGCAGCTTCGAAGGAACATTGGTTTTGGGCATGACCCACAAAATGGGCTCAAGAGCACGAGTTGAAATATTTTAAGAAGTCCGTCATTTTCGCACAGAAACATGAAAAATCTGAAGAACCCATAACCTAAAGTTTGAAGTGGCCATTTTAGGGTAATTTTGCCCACTTCTCAGGGTTCTTCAAAAAGAAACTTGTTCTTTTTTGAGACACTTCTTGCATTAGATTGCGCATCATCTTTTGTGTCTCGTGGCTGGATTTTAGCATGAACTAAATCTGGTTTCTTGTTCTTAAGATACTACTACTTGCGTGGCTTCGCCAATCTGCTGTGCTTGCGTCGCCTCAATGCTCTGGGTGACTTTCAAACGCTCCACAAGACGGACACTTCCATCTTCCCCACGCAAGTGGTCACATGGCTGGTGAACTCGCTCATACAGGAAGAACAGCAGCAAGCCAACAGAAGGCCTGAACTCAGACGACTCATCCTCAAGGTCAGTTTCCTCACACCTTTAATGAAGCGAACATCCAGAGGATTCTATCGCTGTTCTTAATCGATCGTCAGGTTAAGACGCAAAACGAGAAGCCGTCGGTGGAGCTCAACGACGATGTCAAGAAGTTTGAGCTTCCCCGCCGACCGCTGGATCGAGAGGAGTTTGTGCGTTGCATCCAAGAGGGCGGGATCGTTAAAGACGTGGCGACCATTCATCGCTTATTTGACGCTCTCACCGGTGGTAAGTGATGATGGGAGGAAATCAGCAAAAAGCTCCCTCGGGGGAATTCTTGCCCAGCTCGGGCAAACATTCCCATTAAGGAAGCATTACTGACCCGTCACATAATCCGTTAGGCCAACTTATTTTTACACTCGTCTGTAAAATAGTATTAACTTGGGAAACTTTTTTGTTTTACTGGTGACTGTTGTTATAAATTAGAATATGAATACTTTGATTTTGTTCACTCAAGAACATTGTTCGTGTTGGCACACAGCTGCCATAGACAATATCAAAGCATAATTCATTACATTTGCTACGCAGCCTGTTTAATAGTAACTCACTGGCAGTCTGAAGTGGAGCACATTTGTCACATGTCATGGTTACATCATAATGTTTCTATATTCTATTCAGAAAATGGAGCATGAAGTGAACTTTAAAATAGCAACAGAAAACAAAGTGATTTCTTGTGACATGTATACGGAATTGATTTCGATTGGGGCTGTGGAACGTTTCTCCTCACTTTGTTTTTCTTATACAGCCCATTAAACAAATGTCTACTTTAAAAGGCCTTATGATCATTTGTGGCTTAAAGTGGTTTTGAGGCTTTTTCATAACAGCGCCTTTGCGGGTTTTAATTGTGTTTAGATTTGCATGGCTGTTCAGCTCAAATACTATATTCCTGCAGGGCATATATGATTTATGGGCTGTAGTTTACATTGTACACACCAGAGATGATGATTATATATGGATATGCAGATTGCGCCAGAGGTGTTTTGCTAGTTGAACGTGGCAGAGGACAGAAAAAAATACTGACGTCATCAAGAGCCAGCTCTGTGGCTTTTGTGAGGATGAATTTAAAATCTGATAAATTTACCAAGCTGTCCAATTGCTCATGTGGTTTAAATTACTGGATGGATTAGATTGACATGGCAACAGTTGGTGGCTGATATCTGATTGGATTAAAAACAATAACAAATCCAGCATCCACCTAAACGCACTAGAAGTCAAAAGAAATGCTACCAAATGAAGAGACTGTTGCAAATGAAATGCGATCCATTGCCTCTGAGAGTGTTTAGGCCACCTGTGTCCTGGATGTACATAACCTGCTCACGTAGCGCTACGCGTAGCTGCAAATGTGGGGCACTTACTTGTACTTCCAATGTATGTTTAGATGAGTCAGAGCAAGTGGACGCCGAGCTCTTCAAAGGCTTCTACACCTTCTGGAAAGAGAGTGAAGCAGAGGCTCAAGACGTCAACCTCCCCACAGAGGTCATCGAGCAGCTGGATCACACCGAGTGCATCTACAAGTTGTCGTCCTGTGTCAAGACCTCTCACGGCGTGGGTAAAATCGCCATGACCCAGAAACGTCTCTTCTTGCTCCCAGAGGGTCAGCCTGGCTTCCTGGAAATCACGATGTTCCGAGACATCCAGGTGCTTTTGTAGGTTAAAAAGCAACCAAATCAAGTTTTGTACCAGGATTTGTCAAAGCAACTTCTTTGTGCAGGAGGTGAAGATAGCTTCGGCTCCTTTTCTCCTGGTGCGCATTCCTTCTCTGCGTATTCGGACTTCCAGCAGGCTCGAGGCATTTGAGGCCAACCTAAAGGCGGAAACTGATCTTTGGAATCTTGTGATCAGAGAGATGTGGGCCGGGCGCAAGATGGCCGACCAACATAAGGTAAGGAAATCAGGTACCGCAGCTTGGAAACCCAACGGGTTCGATCATGTAATGAAATACCATTCGGGTGATGTTGTTTTTAGTACCCTCAGTACATGACTCAGGCTCTGACTAATGTACTGCTGATGGAGGCCGTGGTGGGCTGTCTGCAGACCCAAAGGTCAATCTGTGCTGCCACAAAGCTTGCCTATTTTGACAAGGTCAAGCATGAAGGTGAGGGCTCACTCCTCAGCTACTACTCTCTTACTTAACAGCAACGATGAAACTATTGTTAACGTAACTGCTTAGTCAACGGTTGTTAGATTGAGATGGCAGATGCTCTTGGATCATGAATCATGCGGGCATGCCATTTCTTGGAAAACGGCTTTTCGTTTCAGGCTTGCTGTAATACTTTCATGAACAGTCTGTCCTTGGTTAATGGACAGAAGAATCTCAATTTTATGGCACTAGTTTACCATATGTATTTTAATGAGTTTGTAATGCAGAAAGGATCCGGATTCCTAATTTGCTGAACAAACATGGTAAACCCTTCTCTATCTGATAAATTGCACTTTTATGTAGCTCAAGTAGAATTAGCAATGCTGTACACTTGAGGGACAAGGGTTTTGCTAGAAAGTTCTTACATAAAATATGCTATGCTTTGGATCATGACCTTTTCCTTTTCATGGATGGACTTGGTGGATCCACAGATGAAAACTCCATTGACTTGATTCTTAGATGTATTGATTGTTTTCAATTTAAGATATATTATGTTCTTGTTCTTATCATTGTGAAATTGTTGTCATTTTTCTCTGAGCAGTGCCCATGATGGTGCCTAAAACTACCTCTGAGACGCTAAAACACAAAATGAACCCATCATTGGACCTCGCAGAGCCACAGACTGTCCACATTCTGCTCTACACTCCAGGTACCTGTTTGCAGACTGCATGATTATTGTCATGCGGATTCAAAGTGCAATCATTGTGTACATTTATTCACTGTATGTTGTTCTTCTCAAACTTGTTTTGTAAAACCCTTGTTGTGTTGTACACAAAGAAGTCTATAGCAGGTCTGTGTTTGACAGCTTATAAATCACCAGCATTGCTTCAAAGTCACATGCGAGTTTCCTCCATCAAAGTTATTTTTACTGAGGAACAGCGGAACCTCTTAACCTGTCTTGTGATGCGATGAGACCTACCGGCTGGCTATGTGTGTCTGGTTTCATTGGATTTAACTGCAGCATATGCTACAGTGGATCTCAGTGTTCTGTTGGCTCATTTGCAGCACCTGGTTGGCAGTGGCGGTGGCGCCCTTGAGTGGTTTAGATCCTATTTGGCTGACAGAACTTTTTGTGTTAGCCTTGGTTGCTCTGAGACACGAACTGCCCCACTGTTGTGTGGTGTTCTGCAGGGTTCAATTCTAGGGCTGCTCCCCTTTCAGCCTTTTTTTTTTTAAATTGCATAATAAAATGTTATTTAGACAAACCCCAATAATGTATTTGTTCCAAAAACCTAACAGGCTATCCCTGGTATTCCGGAGTATGGCTGAATTTCATAGTTGACCAATTCTGGCTCAGAATGTCTTTAATCCTACCTTTGTACCATTTTCACAGAGATAGTTCAGTACATTTAATTAGTGTCTCGACTTTTATTCAATGAAAGGTCATCATCTCTTGTACAGGGCAGTTGACATGCGGTGACTCCAAGGATGAGACGAATCCCAAACTGTGGGTGGCTCTCAGCGGGGGCAGAGTGGTTGTATTCGATGCTGCGAGCTGGTCCATGCTTCAGGCTTCGATCCATCTTGGAGAGTCAAAACTGGTGAGTGCAATCATAGTGTGCTGTATTTAAAAAAAAAGCGTGATGTTACCAGTGGAGGTTGCGATGCAGAATGTAACAACATCCTAACTGAAAATGACTGCATTTCGATGTACTGTACTGAATTGAAGTCCATGCTGCCCCCAAAAGAACTGCATGCTGGGATTGGTCCACAACCAGGTGTGGATAGGCTCCCAGGACTCGGTCATCTACATTATTGATGCTCACAACCTGTCCTGCAACAAACAGCTAACCGACCACAGACACGAGGTTACTGGACTCGCACTGGATGTAGGAGAACAACACAGCAGGTAGACACGTCCAGACGCTTACTTAACATTATTAAAAGTCATTTGTAATATTTTGTATGGATTTAACAGTACTCAAACGGTTAATGTGGGCAAAAAATGGTCCTTGACATTTCCTCCATTTTTTTTTTGTAATACCGTAATTTTTGTCAAAAGAAATTCAGCCTACTTGTCAGGTTTGAAACGAACCGAATAGTGTTTGGGAACCCAGAAATGCAGACACAGACAAAATGCGACAACAAAAATGTTTCTTAAAAAAAGGAAAAAATACACAGAGCGACAAAGTCCAAAAAAGAAAACGCTTGTCTCAAGAATCCAGGAAAAAACGAGGAATGAACACAAACGCAAGGTAGTGGAACACCGAGAATACCCCCAAAAATGACAAGAGTCCATTTCACACGGCAAACAAAAACAAAATCAAATGACTAAACAATGACTCTCCTTACAAAACGATGAACTAAAGGAGTAAGAATAACAATGACATTGACAAGATCAAGAGGTCTAGAAAACAACACGGAAGCATGCACAGCGAACAAGGTCAATAATGCAACGAACAGTGCCAGAAGTCGGAGTCCTTAAATACAAGGCTAATGATAACAGGGAACGGGGAACAGGTGCGCCGGCTGGAGGGAAACGCCCTTCACCACAGGTGGAGCTGAAACAAAACACAAACACAGACAGACATGACCCTACTTGGAAGAGCAATGGCACGTTAATTGTGCTTTAATCAAAAAGCCTTTGTTGAGCCAACATGTTCATGCTCTTTCCCTCCAGTTCTGACATGTACTCATGCAGCAATGATGGGACAATACTGCAGTGGGATTCATCCAACCTGAAGATGAAGCGACATTTTAACATCAGCTGCAAGCATCTCTCCTCAATACAGATCCATGGCGATACACTGTGGTGCTGTAAGTGCATATTACATAATCCCTGGATGCACATGAGACAAAGCTTCCTAATAATTTGTGTTGGCTTGTTTCATAGGCTGCGGTGACACCATTGTGGAGCTAAAAAAGAGCGGAATGCCACAAAGAAGGCTGGCGCTGCCAGGGCACCTTCGAGGCCCAACAAGTAGATTCACCGACTTTATTGTCATCCCAGAGGTGAATCATCCTCATATTTGTTGTAGATGTACAACAAACACTAATGTCAGAGTAAAAGGAAAAATAGAATTCACTGTGAATCATTTATTCAAATCGTGAGCATAATCGATTATTATAATAATTATTATCACTGTTATTATTTTCTGTTTTATAGAAAGAACATTTTAATTCTTACCGTTACTTTCATTCAAAATCATGACTGTCACAACATCACAAGCATGGCAGAGAAGTAATTGGTTATCATACCATCCACAGTCATGATTTCATGAAATAAAATGCACACATATATCAATCTTGCACACACACTCATAATAGAAGCAGGAACAAACAAATCAATAAAAGAAACAGCATTAAGAATTGTGAAGAACGATGAGATTTTTGTTTTATTGTGCTTTTTAGATATAGATTGAATGAATTAGCCATTCGTGTCATTGCAGTGTGCAAAATGGTGTTGGCCATCTGTGACAATTGATTCTTCTGCTGGGTCATTAGCTAGCAAATCAGTACATGAGACTGAAGTCAACTATAAGGAGCAAAGCCGCTGCAAAGAGAATGGCATTAAATTAACTCGTAAATCAAACTCTGCAAAATGAGGTCGTGGGTTCGAGCTCCAGCACCCCCCGCGACCCTTGTGAGGATAAAGCGGATGGGAAAATGGATGGATGGATGGATGATCATTACAGTACTTCACTTCCTAAAATATTTGTGACATTTTTTTAAACACCAAACATTGCCATCCATGCTATGAGATGTCTCCATTTTAAAATGTGTTGCCTTGGCTTGAGAAGGGAAGGGAAACATTGCCTTAGGCCGGCTAAACTTTGACTTGCCAGTGTTCTTCTGTGTGTGTGTTCCAGCGAGGTGAGCTCTGGACAGGATTGGCAGACTCCGGTGAGCTCTATGTGTGGCACGCTGACGGCCATAAAGCTGCTTTCAAGAAGATCTCCCTGACAGGCTGCTCTGGGGTCAGCTGCATGATCCGAGTCAAGGACCAGGTGAGCCTTGTTTGTTTTGTCACATTTGACTGACTGTAACAATGAGAACTATTTTCAGTGACGTTTTTCGTCCTACACTTAAGATCTGGGTCGGCTGCTGTGCAGAGAGTGGTGTGGGAGGTCATTGTGATGGTCAGCTGAGAGGCCAGTTAATGGTGGTGCATCCAGAGACTCTGACAGTGGCAAAGGAGCTGCAGGCCCATTCAGACAGCATCAAGACACTCTGCTCTGCTGAGGACCGCTACGTCCTGAGTGGATCCGCGCAGCGTGATGGCAAAATAGCCATATGGAAAGTAGAGTAGGACACAAACTGTAGAATGAAGGGAATGAGTGAGAAATTTGAGGATGCAGCAGACACAACAGCTTACATTTTTTTGTCCCTTTTGCTGATGACAATTCAAGCGTTCCATTTTTTTTATGTTGAATGATAAAGTTGAAACTACCCTGAAATGTGTTTGACTATAAATGCCTTGAAGGTACAATATACAAGAACTCTAAATTGGTGTTATGAAGTGAAAATGTGTCGATGCTTTTTGGAACCTTCACTTTTTTTCCTTCCAAATATTGTGCTCGTTCCTTCAAAAGTTCCTCTTTCAAAGATTCCAAGATATTTCCTGATCGAATTATGGATGAATAAATGACAGAATTTTGCAACTGTTGGTTTACTTTATATGCATGCTCGTTTTTTTTTTTGTTTTTTGCAAGTGCCAATTCATAATCTTTATAATTAATTCATAAATCATGAAAACAAATATTAATAAAACAATTCATAAAAGCAAATGTAGCCTATTCTGTTTCTCTCTCTGTTCATACACTTTGATCATAGCCTGCATATTCTTCTGCTTATGTGTGTTTATGTTGGCGTAAGAACATGTTTTTATTTATAGAAGAAAAATGTCAAATTAAAAAAAAAATGACTGAATTGCAGTTTCGGCTGCTCAAACGAGGGGGCGCTCCAATCCTACAGGTGGCGGTCGTCTCTACCGTTTTTGTTCCAGGAGCGATATGCGGCAGCAGAAGAATACCACTAGTCGGCTTTTTTATTTTATTTTATTTTTCAGTTAAATACTTAATGTAAAATATTTGACAAGGAATTACTTAAAATTAAAAAAAATATGAATTGGAAAAACGGAGACACTTGCTTTGACGTAACTCACGTTACGTGACGTTAGTGACGTAGATTTCCTGCGACTGGCGACTTCCTGACTAGCCATGTGAAGCACCACATTCATAAGTATTTAATATTATCTGTGTGTGATATGCGCATTGTTTATGACAACCAGTTGTGCTTCGGCTCATGCCGGCCTGCTGCTGTTTGCAAAGAGACCTGTGAGTGGGGAAGAAACTGCTGATTTAGACGTCTTTAAGCTCCTCGACAAGGTCAGCATTTCACATTTCTTGGCAGCCCAAGAACCACTGCCGACTTTGCCCGTCCTGTCTGCAGGACTTCGTGTTAGATGGGGACAGTTGACGCTTGCTGCACGGCTATTAGACAACCAATCGTTGATGAAAATAAACAGTGTTTGCCTTTCACCAACTACCGTTTTCTAACCATGCTCGTGACATACTGAGGAATCATGATGGCATGACCTGTGTGCGTGTCAGAGGTGGCAGTAGTACTCGCTCTCTGTAATTAATTATTTAACTGTGTAAAAAAAAAAAAACGAACGTAAAAGTAGAAGATCTGCCTGTACAGAGTACAAATTATCTAATGTAGTTTGGAACTAAAGTAAAATATATTTTACTGTCAGTTATATGCTGAACTCGTGATAACATATGCACACGAAATACGTTCCCTATTTTATTAACTTTAATAATATTTGGACTGAAAGAACTAATTATTTTATTACATCAAAACTATCACGGCATTTCTATTCAGAATTTCGTATTTGTGCATCAAAATATGTTTAGGGACACATAAAGCCATCTCTGATTAAAACTTGCCGTTGATCAGTATTGTTTAAACTCAAATGTATTGTCCAATGTCATTTTAGGACATCTGTGGAATGGTGCACTGGGCTACTGACAAGTGAAACTCATTCTCATCTTTCTGCGGCGGCCCCGCCTCTGGAGCCCTATGGCCACTCGTTTTTTGGGCAGATATGTCCGCCTGCTATGCAGGGCCTCCCCTCAAACCGCGGCTGCCTGCTTTCCTACGTCAGCGGCCAGCCTGGCTCATCTGCAGAAGAATCGGTGCCAGTCGTGGACTTCAGCGAGGTCAATGTGTGAGAGGCGGGTGCTGTCAAAGGACGACGTGTTTTCAAACACGCCGACTCGCACCCAGCTGGATGAGATGGTGGAAAAGGCTGCGGTGCCTGAGGACATCCTGCAAGCCTGGGAACAGCACGGAGGAAATGGTAATCAAGCAGCTTCTACTCTGTTGGCTTGGACGAGGATGATGCAGAAGACGCAGGGCAGGTTTGAGCAACAGCATGCCAAGGACTCAAGATTGCAGGATCTGATGGCTACTACAACTCAGCAGGTGAGAAAGCCAAGTGCCCAGATGTCAAAGCCGTCAAGACGAATGACTCATTTATGTATCTTCCAGATATCAACGGTGTGGAACGGCACTCTTGTGTCCGTCTTGCGGGCTTTCTGGGTGATGGGCGTCCCCGCTACGGATCCGGTGTTGGTGTCTATCCAAACGGAGGTCCTGTGGCGAATCCGCCGGTTAAGCTACAAAAACCTGGGCTTCCTGGCAGAGTGGGGGACCGGGAGGAAAGTACCGCAGGATGTGGCCATCGTGACCGCTGCTCTAAAACAGCTGGAACTGCGCTGGACTGAAATTGCTGATGCCAAAACAGTCAGTGCGCTCATTTCCAAAGGACAACACGTGTCGCCTGTCCTAATGGAGAGACTAGAGGACAAGGTATGACAATGAGTTCTGTCATCACTTTTGCTGTAAATACTAAACTTGGTGGTTTTGATACACAAAGTAAACCCTGGCGTTACATGTGTAGTATTCTCTTGCTTTATAAACAAGAAACTAAAGTTCCAATCCGTTGTTATTTAATTACATAAAATGAATCCAACTGAATTTGGGGGAGAGGTGGGCTAAAGTAAACACAGGACTTTTCGTCAGCCAATTACTGGGCATATTTAGACAAACATTTCTGTCCAATTTAGCATCTTCATTTCACCCAACTAGGGTGTTTTTGGAATGTGGGAGGAATCCTGCACCCGGTCATTCAGAATCAATAAGCTATCAAGTACCAAGTTTTCTCAACTACCCAATGGTCTCCATTCTAATAGATGCCATAACTCGGGGTGTCATTGGGGGGAAAAAAAAACAAAAAAAACATTCTGAAGAAATAAATTTTTCAATAAAAAAAATTGACAATAAAGTTGTACTTGACATGACTTGAAATACCAAATGGTGCCACTGGATGGCTGTAATTAGCTTCAGAATAACTTCTGATACCACCTACCACAGCACAGCCCAACTGATATGGCATCTCTCAAGTTATCATTTGTATTAGAGCTTAAAAAGAAATTGCTGTTGTGTACAGCGTGGGGCGTTTAAGAGTAAAATGATTTATTGCATGAGGGACAAACACAACCAAGTTGTTACAATACTGAGTTATCGAATCTGTACTATTATATGTCATTTTTAATTCTCTTCTTGCGATGATGTATTCCACTGCCCCCTGATGGCAAGTCTAAAAGTGCAGTTGAGTAAATGAATGCCCCAGAAACTACAGTACATTAAAGTTATTTGGTTCACTCGAGTCTCTTCTGCTGGAGGTGCTGACAGTGTAGCTGAAGTCATTAAATTGGAGAAAAACATGATGATGGGTAGCGCTATGACGTTGATCTTGTCTTCTTATTAGTTGAAATAGGTTTAAGATTTCTTTTTTTTTAATTTAATCAGACAATGTTTTTTTTTAGTGAAGGGAAAAAAAAACTCTTACCGAGCTGACAGTTTCAGTTTTTTTTTTAGTGAAGAAAAAAAAAACCTCTTACCGAGCTGACAGTTTCAACTGTCATTCAGCCTTCGCCTGAGCTGTCAGTCAGAGTCACCGCTTCCTTTTGACGTGTCTGCTGACCAGGTCGGGAAACCTTCAAAATAAGGCTACTCGGTCGAGGCTGGGAACCAACCCCCTGCCGCTGCCATTACATTAATGTGTCCCTGTTGATGGTGCTGTCTCCGACGAGTGGGTTTACACGCTACCACACAGCCAGGACACATTGCTTTACTGGCGGCAAAGGGTTGGGGCGCAGCTATTTAGGCATGCAGGGAAACCTTGTACTGTATCTCGCCGCATCAACATGAAACAATGCGTCTTTCCGTAATATAGGTGCCGGTATGGCTGCATTATTTATTTAAAAAAAAAAAAAGCTGCAAAACTGTCCAAAGTGGCGAGGGATCACTGTATATGGTAAAAATCCAATACTTACCCTGCTAACCCTTCTTCCATGTCCCGCTTGAAGGCTTTGGAGCTTGCTGAAGTCTTTTCAGCAGAAGAGATTCGCAAAGTGTGCGTGTCGTTAGCTGTGCTTGGCCGTAGGTCCGTGCCCCTCCTCAGGGCTCTGTCCTACCATCTCCTCCAGAGACCGTCGGCAGAATTCACCACTCCACTCATACTCGATATGGCCTTTGCATACGGTAATAGCACTCTGGGCGTTCTAAGCTCCAATACAAAGAGCTGTGTCAAAAAGTCTGCCTGTAAAACATTGATTCAAGGGTTTATTATTGGTTTTGTAGTAGACCAAGACTATATCATGTTTGATACTACTCTTGTATTTGATTACATTTTTAGAAGTCTAATCATTCTATTATCTGAAAGGTGTGTTTGGCTTTTTCTACTCGCAAGGAATGGTGTCTCACTCACCAGCCAAGCCATCATTGTGCTTTTCCAGGCAAGCTGAGTTTCCACCAATCCCAAGTGTTTCAGCGAATGGCGTCCGAGTTGATGCCCAGAGTCTCTGTACTGACCTCCGCCGACGTCACGCGCTTTGCAAAATCAATGGCCTTCCTAAAATGGCTTCACATCCCCCTCTTTGAGGCCTTTGCGGAGGTCAGTCCTTTGAACTTCACACCTCACAGACAGGACTCTTGAAGTCATTATTACGGCGTTTCCTCCTGCCTGAACACGATCACTTTCTTTCTGAGTCCTAACTTTCTTTTTTTCTCCAGCACTATGTGGAGCACAGTGAGAAATACAGCACCTTGCAGCTGTGTAACATGCTCATGACGTTTGCCAGACTCAACTTTCAGCCTAGCAAAGGAGACGAGTACTTTGAAAAGGTACTCGTGATGTTCCTGCACCTATTTGGTCCCACTCTACTCTAGGGCTAACCTTATAAAGTGCGTCCGTAACTTGAATGTGTGTGAGCCAACAACGAATGAAAGCCCTTTATTACATATACACATTTAGCAACCCCCTCAAGATTAAAAACATCGCTCTATTATTATACTGTACAGTACATCCTGCACAAGGTTGTGTTCGACGCCGTTTTTTTTTTTTTTTTTTTTGTGTTGTGTTCAGGTTCATCCTGTGCTGGAGGACTCCCTCTCAGGCCTAGAGCCTTTCCTTCGGACAGATGTTGCATGGTCCCTGTGCGTGCTACAGCAGGCCAGGCCACACTATCTCAACCCGCTCCTCCAGCAGGAACATGTTGCTCAGCTGTCAGGTGAGAAGCACATCTCCAA